GAGTTTGTTATAACCACTTGATATCAATAAAATATTGAGCGTTGAATTGACTTAAATTAAAGGTCACGATTATTTGTCAAATAAGTGTGTCAAATTAATGAGTAGGAGGAACGGTTCCGTTCAATTAATTACACGAGTCTAACTTAGCCCCAATTTGATTTAACTAAAAAGATGCTAAAAATTTAAGTCAATGTCAATAATTAATTTTAATAACACATTTCATGGAATTTTTTTACAAACTTTTCAACCATATATTTCATCGACTTTTATCGAGATCTATTAAAAATTTAATTTTATGCCAAGCCAAACACACCATAATAGTTCAATTTATGAATTTAAAGCTCCTAGAATCATCATATGATTGTATCAAATGGCAATATATGAAATTATAATAGAAAAAACATATATATGTGGAATTAAAATTTGAGTGCTTCAAAACCTGAATTTTCCTTAAATTCTATAAATATCAGTTTCCATGAATTAAATGCTCTATACACAAATCATTCATTTGCATAATTCATAAATTTAAATATAACTTTAGACCTATCAGATGTGGCATTATGTTAAAATTAAACACGTTTCTCATGAATTTTGAAAAAAATGGACCTAAGCTTTGTCTTGCTTCGAAAATCATATGCTCGAGTGTGAAGCAACAAGTAGGTGTAAGGCGTCATTTTATTTACTTGACAACGTATTTAACTTTGTTACGTTCAAGAAACTAATGCATAAAATTAGACTTCTTGTAGGAGGCTTTGGGTTAAAATGAAGAAAAAACTAAAAATGACTCGTTAATGGCCGCAACTTTTTGTGTCTATCTCGTACTTGAGATTGCTCCATTTTTCTTATTAGATGTAAAGATTAGTGAAATTACTCCATCTCATATACATCATTCTTTTAGTAAGACACACGTGCATTCTATACTAGTAAGACGCACGTGCAATGCACGTGTTATAGTATAGTTGGCTATATGATAGCGTAAATATAAAAAAAAAATTATTTATCTTAAGTATTAGTTACATTAAGCTTAAAAGACTTGAAATGATCATAGATGATAAAAATAATATTAAGAGATTGGATTCAAGGCTTATTTTTTAGACTGTAGGTTTGAAAGTCTCTCTGTTCTTTTTAACAAAAGACATTGCATAAATGATTAGGTGTTGATGTCCTGCTAAAGGGATAATGAAGTTCAACACAGCCCTCATTTTTCTACCTATTGAGGTAGG